GCTAAATCACCGAGCAGTTGAGTAAATAAAAGTGAATAAGCCAAGGGTTTTCTCAAAATACCTTTGCCTGTTCCTGTAGTAGGTGAATTTCTTGGCTTCTCAGAAATCCATTTCTCTTCCTTTGCTTCTTTACCGTGATGGTTCTTTACCAGCTCAGTCTGGTTTGTTTCTGAGGGATTAAAATAGCACATATTTACTGTTTTATAAAAGCTCGCAAAATTTTCTGATCCAAAAATGCGGTGGTGTTTTGAAAACCTAATCTCCCACTTCATACACAGGTCTTCTTGGGTGGAACATGGTTTTACGTGTTAATTATTCTAAAAGTATCATTCCTCAAAAGGAAAGTGGCTGTATTCCTTCTAGCAGAGTTCGTGGTCACAAAATCTTGAAAGCAACCTCCAAAACTGACTGATAAACACAAAGACCAAGGCTACTTTGAACTTGTACAGTTGCTGTGAGCAGGTCTGGCTCCAAAGGCTTCTCATTATGAATTAGAAAATCTTCATGAATACTGTATTTAGGGTTTACAGTTTAAAAGTACAAACGTTTGCTTGGAATTCACATACACATTCGTAATTCCTGAGAATGAAAAGTTGCGTGCAATGTATGTGTGCGTTCACAGGGGGAAGAAGTAAGTCCTTCTGGGAAGTCAAAGTGTAGCATCGAAATGGGAACGCAGTGCAAAGGGACTCGGAGGCACAGGGTGACAGACACCTTGTGAGCTCGGAGTGTGTGTCGTTACAAGAGAACTCAGTTAGCAACAGAACAGGAACCGTGATATGGTCCAGTCTACCGGTGCTTGTTTCTCATCCCTTGCACATGAGGTATGCTTTGCCTCTGTCTCAGTTGTATCAGTTCAGCTGTGTGTTGCCCTGCAAGCTGAACAACTAAAATGAGGTGGCATAAAAAATAGCTTCAATTTATAAAAGGATTATTTTAATCCTCAGGCACTTCAGTGATACAGTTTAGAGCATGGGCCTGCAAATAGTTTTAACAGCTGAACTGGCATGGCTGACGTAGTGACAAACAGCCTTGCAGAAATGCCATTGAATGGCTGGAGATTCAACCTTCCTATAGCAGCTTTACCTCCGATGTCAGCACACCTAGTAGCTAAGGCTGTTCTACTCCCTGCATGTCCTTTTTATAACTCCACAGAACCATTTATTTTCTATGCAATAGTTTCTCCCTATAGCAGTAATTTAAAAAGTGGCAAACATTGTCCAAGCAGATGAAAAGTACTTGCCTTTCTGCACGTCTCGCTCGGTAGCTTCCAAGGGTAATGGCTCATTTTCCCGAGGTGAAGACACAGTTGTGGTTGATTGGTGTTCGTGAGGGTACTGAATCCTGTAATACTCTCCTAAACATACCCCAAGAGGGAAAAAAAAACCCCAGAGTTTCCTATATTGGCAGCATTGCTGTTTAGGAAAGAGTGACCAATGTCATATTTACCAGATTTGTAGCATATGTCCTTTATTGCTCTTTCCTCTTCAACATCTGCAGCAGTCTTAGGCACCCAATTGGAAACATCTGTAGGAAGTATTTTTAGAGGATTACTAGAGAGTTGTACAAAGACGTTCAACAATTCTTAATAATCAAATACCAGAATGAATTTCATTTTGGTCACGATTTGTTTTTTTCTGCTGACTGTGTCCGAAACATCTTCAGTCCTCATTTTCAAAATAATCCTGCCTTTACACTCAAAAGGAAATCTTGCGATTAACCGTGTGATCAGGGAGTGGTTGTCACAAAACCCCTGCCCAAAGTTACTGTCCTGCAACGTCTGCCGGCAGAGCTGGTGAAGTGAGTGCTCCTTACCTGTCTCAGTGAAGGCTAACTAAGATTAGCCAAGCCCTGCTGTTTCTAGTTTTGAGATGAATGTGGCTTCCTCAGACTGAAACCGAGTTGGGAAGCACTAACAGGCAGCCCTGCCAGCCAACCTGAAGGGCAGGGGGAAAGTGAAAAGCAGCTTGGGGCTGCCTGAGAACTAGCAGAGTAATTTGCGGAGTGCACGCATGAGAGTAGGTCGTTCCCTCACTTTCACTCTGCGGGAATGTGCAATTGCTTCCTTCCCTGTGAATCTCTCATCTCTAAGTGACATACCTTCACTAGTTTAACTACATTTAAAAAAAAAAAAAAAAGTATTTGTACGTGTACACATGCAGTTAAACCAGCGCAGAGTGTTGTATGGATTCTCTTTGCTAGATTTAAGGATAACTTTCTGTAATAAAACGAGACTGCCTAGAGAGTTTTGGAAATCAGTGGAACAAATTACTTAAGCTGAAGTCACACCACTATCGTTCCTAAACAATCCTGTGAGTTCGCCTTCAGTGACCAGTGTGTACAGCCCCTGTTCAAAAGCTTGTTTGCAGAAGAGGAGTGCCTCCTCAACTCGTAATTTCGTCCCTGAATTTTGAGCAATTTTGGAATCGAAACCCATGCTACTGCCTTGTAAAAGAAAGAAAAAAACTCTTTACGAGTCTCTTCATCCTGCTCCGTATCGTCCTCTTCATCCTCTTCGTCGTTGAGGTTTATGATCAGTGGAGGGTGAATTGGTCTTAAAACAGTCTCTTGAGTTCTGAGTGGTTCTTGACGATGGGCTGGATGCAGAATCCCTTCTTGGACACCCTGTTGTAATGGGGCATCTGCAGAAAAGAACGTGATCTTGATTTTGTTTGGAGGGAACTAGATATCGAATCCAAGCTCAGACCAGCAGGTGTAGTTTTGAAATCCTTATCATACTGAAGGACTCGTTACATAGACAGATTGTGCCTTTTAGGCAAAATACTTTAATTTAAAATAATAATAATTTACACTTCATTAGAAGAAAATCAGAAAAGACAGTCTTTTCCTCAGGCATTTCTATCTCCCCATAATGTCTGCAGCAAAACGGTTTCAGCACTGGGATAGCATTTTCTGAGCGCCAGGAAATGCAAGGGACTGAAAATAAACATGGTGAAAAATGGTGGGTCCATTTGTATTGTTGAAGCCGACCAATTTGCAGCTATAGATACAACCCGGATTCTGTGCATTCTATCAGAAGTATTGAAGCGGGCTATGTTTTGCAGTTTGAAAGCGAGAAGGTGAAGCACGGGCATTTTCTTTTATTCCAGGTGTTGTTAGTTGTGTGCATCTCTTGCTTGCCTACGAGCAGCATGCGTATCATCTTAAACCCATTTCAGTACCACTCCTGCAGATGGGATTTGTTGTATCTCATGCAAGAGAAAGTAAGGTGCAACACTTTAGCTTGATAGAGCCTTTTTCAGTGTCCCGACTAGGATATTATTAGCTCTGCGGAGTGTAAGCCCAATCAAACTTAAATGAGTTTAACAAGATTTTGAAGTATTAAGCGGAATAAATGCAGTGTTGGTATTGGCAATGTTATTGTGGAGCACGCGGACTTTGAATTTGAATCCATGTAACGTGTTGTGCTCTATCAACAGATACTGCTACTAGTGGAAGGAGGATCCATAGCATGACAGCTCAAAACCCCCATATGGCCCCCCTATTCAAATGCCAGGGCAATTCCTTTCTGTGCCTTGAACTTGCTGGGAGAGCAGACCGTACCTGAGTGATTTGCCATGGTACAGTTCTCGACCTTAATAGATATTACGGGAGCGCTGGAAGGACGATTTTGTGTATTTACTTACGCTAAGGAGCAAATTGTTGAGAAAGTATTGTTACTCACTGTTGCTAGGTGGCAAAAAAAGTCCATTTATATGACGAGGTTTGCTATGATGGAATGCGCAGCTGATCCTCATGCAGCCTATGGGTTGTGTTTCCCAGTAACAGCGGATGTTGCTGTACTTCTGCTGCAGGAGAAAACGGTTTTCAGATCTTGTAAAAAGAAGCAGAAAAAGGACCAAATGGATGAATAGGTGGTGCCCTGCTGTGCAGATTTTGTGGAACCACATTCTGATATTTTAGAACGTTTAAAGTTATCTTAAGCTCCAGATAACTCTAAAGTTGCCCCGAGTGAGCTCAGACAAATAGGAACTCGGGTTTATAGCCTGGCTATGACCTACATCCCAGCGGAGAGCTGCAAATGCCAGGTTGCCGGTTACTTTTTAACGCGTTTCTGTGTAATTTTTTAAAGGAAGACAAAGTCACACGTGAAAATATTGGAATATCACCCGGTTCCAGACATTAACAGCTGGGGCTAGGAGCAGCACCTCCAAAACACGCCGCTCTTGGACTGTAGTCAGTACCACTGGACCATCTGCCGAGACACGCTGGGGTCTGGAGCCGAGGTATCAACTTCTACCTTTACATAATAAACCTCCCTTTCAAGACGGATATATCAGGAAAATGAAGGCTACAAACCACTCTGCAATCTACAGCATTTACCTGTGCATAGTGGGAATAGAAATGGGCATAGCTGTCACTCCCAGCTGCGGCCATTTTCACCTCCTGTGCTTCTCCACTCTCTTAACGCTGGCAGAACATACAGGAAAACGTTAAAGCTATCAACGTTCAGGCAAATTGTAATCTTATCCTGAAAGCGGGAGTTTTCTTTCAAAAACTGGACCTTCAGAACCTTAGCTCTGCTGCTTTTTTGAAACAAAACTCCCACAGACAGCAAAATACGCTTGAACGAAGGAGGTGGTACCTTCTCCAGCCTTGCTGACCCGACGAAGGCAGTTGCTAGCCGGTATAGAATGTTACCTTTCCACGGTTGCCAACCGCTCCTCCAGCTGGTGACATCAGCGTGATGGCGCTGCGTGGCCTGTCCAGCTTGAACATCTTCCTTTGTCTGCATTGCTTCAGAGTGAAGTACGGGAAATCGGACCGTTGCAAAGAGTCTCCCATTCCGGTGTTTCTTTAACGTAACATGGACCGAACCCATTTGGCGGGGCTCAGTACCCAGCTTCTTGCCGTGGGACCTGTGGCCTTAGAAACAAAGCTTTGGCACCACAAAGACAAACCTTGTTCGTTGACTCTTTGTAACCAAAACCCTCGTGCCCAATGTTTTTCTTACTGGACCTCTTTCTTTGGATGGGGAAACTTGCTGCTTCCCACTAGTGCACTCTTAGCTGTTAACTGCTTGCGTTGTTGGGGTTCATTGCTTCTGCGTGCTTCCAGGACGCCCGCTGCCACAGCTAAAGCAGACAGAAGAGCGTACACTTGTGTCCCTAATTAACACCTCTGTTCTCATGCAGGTCCTAGGCTGCCTCTGAACAAAAAATACCTAGGGGGGGAGATGAAGTTGCGGTCCTGGAAGATGGCGGGGCGAGCTGCTCTCCCCAGGACATGGGGTCACATTTACAACACGGAGTGACAACGGCAAAGGAGAATACCTCGTGCCTGAGCACCGGGGCTTTGGCCCGGGAATAAAGTGATTTCTACGGGAAGGACTTCACCTAAGTACAGAAGGAAACCGCTGGCTGGGCTCAAGGTGGGGAGTGCTGGCGAGAGCTGTGAACAGAGAAAGGCTGTGAAAAGGCTCCCACAGTTCCGTAAGCCCTACGACTGAGTGGGGCACAGAGGGGAAGGAAAATTCAGGAGGGCAGATGAGAGCCTTTGGAAGAAAGTGGGAACACCGCCAAGAGCTATCCGAAGAGGGGCTCTTTGCAGCTGTATAGCTGTGCCTAAATGAGGCACAGAAGAAGGTCTGGTCAGGAAGAATGAATTCTGTATTGGGCTTGCGTGGCCAGGTTTTGGTAGCGGCGGGGGCTACGGGGGTGGCTTCTGTGAGAAGCTGCCGGAAGCTTCCCCCATGTCCCATAGAGCCAACGCCAGCCGGCTCCTAGACGGACCCGCCGCTGGGCAAGGCCGAGCCCATCAGCGACGGTGGTAGCGCCTCTGTGATAACGTCTGTAAGAAGGGGAAAAGACTGCTGGGCAACAGGAGCCGGAGAGAGGAGTGAGAATATGTGAGAGGAAGGAACAGCTCTGCAGACACCAAGGTCAGTGAAGAAGGAGGGGGAGGAGGTGCTGCAGGCACCGGAGCCGAGATTGCCCCGCAGCCCGTGGTGAAGACGATGGTGAGGCAGGCTGTCCCCCTGCAGCCCATGGAGGTCCATGGTGGAGCAGCGTGGAGGACAGCACGCCGCAGCAGGTGGATGCCCGAAGGAGGCTGTGACCCCGTGGAGAGCCTGCGCTGGAGCAGGCTCCTGGCAGGACCCTTGGACCCCTGGAGACCGAGGAGCCCAGGCTGGAGCAGGGGAAGAGGGCGAGGAGTCCTCCCCCTGAGGAGGGAGGCGCGGCAGAGACCACATGTGATGAGTTGACCGCAAGCCCCCTTCCCCGTCCCCCTGCGCGGCTCCCAGGGGAGGAGGTGGAGGAGAAGCAGGAGTGAACTTGAGCCCGGGAAGAAGGGAGGGGTGGCGGGAAGGTGTTCTAAGATTTAGGTTTTATTTCCCAGTACCCTGCTGGGATGTGATTGGTAATAAAGCCAGTGAACTTCCCCGAGCCGAGTGTGTTTTGCCCGTGGCGGTGAGGGGCGAGCGATCTGTCCCCGTCCTTCTCTGGGCCCAGGAGCCTTTCGCGGTGTTTCCTCTCCCCTGCCCAGCTGAGGAGGGCAGTGACAGAGCGGCTTTGGTGGGCACCTGGCGTCCAGCCGCGGCCAGGCCCCCACCGACCCAGAGGCTGCGCAGCGAGGCAGAGAGCCTGGGTGAGAAAAGGAGGCCGCTGCCCTGAGGGAGGCAGGAGGAGACCCAGAGAGGCCCCCACCCGCTGGGGACAGGGCCCCCAGGCCCGGGCGTGTGGCACCCTGGAGAGCAGAACAGGCAGCCTGAGGAAAGGCTGCCGGCCCGGGGGAAGGGCAGCGCCGACGGCTGGCGGCCGCCTCAGCCCGGCGCCGAGCACAGCT